CTGTAACAGCTTCTTCTGGTAATGTTGCTGTCATTGTACTATACTGCCTCTTATGGTTTGTCATTGCTATTTTTTGCAGTCGTGTTGTTTGTTGTGATTCTGCCGCTGCTCCTATTCTGATGCCAGGTAGTTGTTGGTTGGTACTGTTGCTTTTCAGCTGCCGTGCTGAGCTACCGTCCTCACCAGGCAATAGGGCAATAAAGATGTTGAGGCTCTCTCTCTCTCTCTCTCTCTCTCTCTCTCTCTCTCTCTCTCTCTCTCTCTCTCTAAAAGGCTCTGTTCATGAATCAGTGAACAAGCAGGCGGAACCTTGCACAGTCCCACAAGCTGGTTGGATGTTTAGAAGTCCCCAGCCCCACATAATCATATCACTATGAAACGGCAGGGAAGATTACTTCAATTCCTATGTTATAACTAAAATACTCTGCTTAACACAAAGCAAGACTAAGGCAAGAGATTAAAACAGAAAAAAACGGCAAGAGATAAATGCAGGTGTGCCAGTTTGCTTTGCTCCAATTGGCTGTCTTTGTTCAGTGTGATGGAGGTGAAGGTGATGGAGGTGAAGGGGGAGTACAGTGAAAATTACATCGAAAAGCAATTTTGGGAAATCATTCAACATCATCTGATCCATCTACACTACACCCACAAAGAAAAAGAGGATCGATTAATAGCCTACCCTACCCTCCCACTCTCCTCTCTCCAGCGAGCTCCCACTGGCAAAGAGGTTTTTGGACGGAATGCCTGAATCTGGACGTGCTTGTGGAAAGGCGCAGAAAACCAAGATTGAACTGCTTTTCTGCACCTCTGCTTATAACACATCCAGATTCAGGAGCTTAATCCAAATCGTCTTTGCTAGTGGAACCCTGCCTGCCCCAGACGAAAAGTCCCTTGGGCTTGGCTTGGAATGTTTGAACTTTGAATTTCCAACACATGCTTCAGGAATCAGAAAATAATATTACTTTGCAAGTTCTCATTCACAAAAAGAGGGGCAGAAACGGAAAACCGGGCAAAGAGGAAGGGGACATGAACAGAGGTCGCTGCACCATAGCCCACCCATAATCGACTGTGTTGTTCAAGCATTCAAGAATTTCAAGGTCATTTTCCAACTTCCATGGTTGCCCCAGAAAGAAGCTGGACGATAATGCAAATAAAATACACAAAAAAAACAGAGAGGAAGGGGGGGGGGGGAAGGGGAAGAAGGTACAAAAACGTCCATACACGATGAATGGGCGACAATCAACGACCGACAACAAAAGCTGCCAACTTGCCGATCCCGGTCTCGAACGATCATCATCAATAGATTAAAAAATCAACAACAGGCGCAAGCCTAAAGGGCCCTCAGTGGGATCATGACCACTGTAAACGCGATCGCAGAACGCGCAAAAGAATCAGTCGAGCGCACAAAACAGCTCTGATTGCGCGCATAGACGGCACATGCGCGGAGCAATGGACCGAGTTAGCGACGAGCAGAGTTTGGCATTCCGATCTTCATTCTCATTCTTCAACCGCCAAACAACATACGCAGGGCTGCTGCCCCGACCTGTGAACTCGTTTTTCCGGTTGGTTCCACATATGCAGGGCCGCCCCAGACTACGAGGCCTCAGGCATCCGTTGTCGCACGCACTCTTTTTTTTTTGTTTCGTTGTTCTTCGCGGACCAGTAATTCAGTTGTGAGCCTGTGGACACTCGTCGATCACGATGGGCAAAAATGACAGATATGCCGTGAAGCAGCATCATCGCCCACATGTTCTTGAAAGCGCCATAAGGAAGACTACTACTAGCCTTCATGAAATCCCAAGGGACCAACACAACAACCCTACCCTTCCACCACTACCGACCGGTAGGCCTTGACGCACACGTGCACTGCACACCCAGCCCCAACCAAGCCCATTTTGTAACTGGAGCGCATGCCGCGATACACTCCGATCAAGCAGACATGCTTTATCGCCATACGCACTTAGAAACTGCCTGAGGCCCTCGCCCGCTTTCAAAAGAAATCGCTAGGCACCGAACACCCTACCCTGCACTACCAGGGTTCTCCATCCAGGTGTGCTAGCCACCCACCCACCCACCCACCTCATTATGAGAGTGTGCCTGCCTGCCTGGACATGAACAGCCCCAAGCCCCAAGCCCAAACCGCCAAAGTTTTCTTCGTCGAGAACATTAAAAAAAAAAAAAAAATTGCCCAAAAAGCCCAATAGCCCAAAAGCCCAATAGCTCAGGAGCCCAAAGGCCCTTGGTAAGAGACAAGGAACAGGAAAGATTAAGATGGAATCACAGACAAACCTTTCGACTCTCTGAGAAAAAGCAGCTCCTGGCCTTTGCGTCTGATTGCTAAAAGCAAGTTCCAGGTCAGAAGCCACATCGCTGCTCATCTGCGAAATGGGACGTCGAGGGCCTATACTACATGTCAGGGCACACACCCGATCACCGCTGGGAAGCGACTCATGGTCTACCTGGATGTCACGCCTGGAATCTCATCTGGACGTAGCACCTAGTACGACCACCCTCCTACTTGGCGTGGGCCCTGCTCAGGAGGAAACCTCCACCCGGGTCTCGGGGAAAGGAGGATGGACGAGGAAGGAAAGGGGTGGCGGGCAGCCGTAGCACCTAGTACGACCCYCCTCCTACTTGGCGTGGGCCCTGCTCAGGAGGAAACCTCCACCCGGGTCTCGGGGAAAGGAGGATGGACGAGGAAAGAAAGGGGTGGCGGGCAACCGTCTGCTTCGCATCGCTGCAAACTTGACCCAGCCAGGCCGTCAATGAGCATAGCCATTGTTTCCAACTTACTTATGGCCCTATAGAAAAAAAGTGATGGGCTGCCATATTCCCAGTCGCCTGCCCACCGAATCAAACCCGGCCCCAATTCCTCCTCCAACCCCTTTTTCTTGGGGGATTGGGGTGGAGGTGGGGGGTTGTCAAGCCCCCACTATCATTGTGCCTGTCTAATGCAGTCAGAATTTGCGTGCCCTTTTTTTTTTATTATAAAACATTTGCAGGCGTAAACCATTCAGCCACGTAGTTGCTTGTCGGCTGGTGGAGAGAGGGGCGGGGGGAAAAAGGGGGGGGGAGAGGGAATTAAAATTAAAATCTTAAAACTAATCATGAACATTTTTTCAGAATTCTTAAACGTCTTCAGAATATGAGTTGTGTGTGTGTGCGTGTAAACCTCTTCACTACAGAACGAAGATGAAGACGAACAGTTGGGAGGGGATTCAGGGGCAACCCTGTGAATGCTGCCAACGAGTGTTGTGTTCCCCTGCGACCTCTGAGCTACAGAGGCTGCAGGAAACGACCACACGAAGCACCAGGTGGCGGAAGAATAGACTCGCCTTTCCTAAACTGCTAAACAACCAACCAACCACTAGCTCCAGACCTGCCCTGCAGACCCTAACTACATCGAGTACCGTGCTGTTTCGCGCCCGTCTAGCAGATTGCAGGAAATCCGGGCCAGTGACATTCACTGCTTGGCGTGGGGACGAGGGGGAGACCCTGCCACGTAGTGGTGGTATAAGTGGGATGAATGAATGCACGACCTGACCTGTCAAAGATGCCCCCTCCCTTAGCTTATAGAGTAGCTTCCGTTCTCGTCTCCTTCCTTCCTTCCTTCCTTCCCTCCTTCCTTCCTTCCTTCCATCTTGCAAGGCATGTATGATTCACGACTATTGTATTGCCCGCAATTGTATGGTGCGGCCACGTAGGAAAAGCGAGTGCGAGGACTAGTTCAGGATTAGTGTATGGTGGGGCGGAGGGGACGGGGAATCAGGGAAGATGGAAGGAAGGGGGCACAAAGAACGATGCAGGCAAAATTGGCTTATAGACCTTACAAAGGCGATTGGGGTCGAATACCCCCGTGATTTTCACGAGCATACTATACACCGTATACAGTCAAGTTCGTCTAACAAACGCAGGTTGACCATTCATTGCGAGGACCGCCAGGTTTGAACTTTCCAGTTTTGAGATCATGCAAGTCTAAGCTCCAGACTCTCTTAAGAGTCTACATCATGTCAACCGACCAGGCAGAAACTGGTCGCTCCGGTAGCAGGAACGTAGTGCGACGGCTACCAATCTTAAACGTCGTGGTGTTGGCTTGCTCATTCAATCTTTTCCCCGTAACTTCGTAAAAATCTCTCCTAAAACCAAACAGATAATTTCATTTCTACAAAGAAACGAGGCATGGGAATTGGAAAAGGGATGTGGCTGCTACAGGGTTCCCTGGCCCCGTAATACTATAATAATCATATATAATGATAATAATAAAAAGGCCTGGAAGGCCATCCTGTCCAGATTAGACAGGTAATTGAATTGGTTGGGCTTAAAAGAATTAGCCTTAAAAAAAAAAAAAAAAAAGGATCTGTTCTGCGAGAAAGGAAATTGTGCACCGAAACCGTGAAAAACGACTTCAAACTGCCAAAAAAATTGGCAAATTCAATTTAATGCTTGCTACCCAGACGACGCCTGCTCTCCCAGGAGACATGTCAGAGCTCTTGGCTGGCCGGTGTTTGCACTGCAGAACACGGGTCCCTTATTCAGTTCTGGATGTTTGACCATAACTGTGTGTCCTTGAAAATTGACTTCAAGATAGACCCAGTTCGACATCAGCCAGCCAGCCAGCCAGCCAGCCAGGTAACACCTGCTCTCCCCTCTCCCAGCAGATTAGCTTGTGGCTGCATTGCCTTCCGCTGCATTGCCCTCTCCTCCTCCAGAATGCATGCACCTTTTCCGGTCCTGGCCAGTGTGTTCTTGAAAACGAGATCAAGCCGCCAACCAACTCGGCAGATCTTGGTTCACACTGGGTTCCGTACCCAGAGGATGACACCCGCTCTTCGGGGAGATGTCTGAGCTCATGGCCAAATGAGTGTGTGCCGCGTCTTTGCCTCCGGACGAAAGGTAAATCTGTCTGTCTGCAGAATGGAACGCACACCGTTTCTCGAGGCCCGCATCCTGGATCTCGTTCGGATTCTTTCCCAAGACAAAGCGCTCTCTTTCGGGCACTGCGGACTCTGAGCGAGCGTTGATTGATTGAATTTGGCACAACATAACGCCACTCATTTACCGGAATGTGTGATGCCCTTACCACATCCTCGATGCAACTGTGAGGACGACCACCAATGTCTCTGCTAAAAATGTCTCTGCAGTGCTGACAGAGCCTCCACCCTTCCTCACACAGACCCTCTGCTCTTGTTGGGAGGAAGTAACATGCTACCCTTCTCTTTGTGCGATTCCACTTCCACTTGCTGTTCGCTTGCTTGTTCGCTGTAATTTGTGGGCTCAGGCTTGTGAGCGGACAGGCATCCGAGCAGCAGCAGCCAAATTGATGCAGTCACTGATGAAAGGGTAAAAAAAACTACAGCGCTGAGTGGCCGTGTGGGCTCGCTATCTGTGATGATACCAAGCTTGCTAGGTTGCGCTTGACAGGTAAAAACATGCCAGAAGCTTGGGACAAGCTGCTCGTTCGTGGCCACTTCCTTCCATTATGGCATCGATCTATCGCAAGTTCCATGAGAGGCGAGAAGAGACATTTTATACTACACGCGCTCCATCGCTTTTGGGTAAAACAAATTACTAAGAATTTAAGAAATAGAAAAAGGCCAACTTCTGCAACAAATGTAACGGAGGAGAGTGTCAGAACAACTGACACATCGCCAACGACCTGGCCAAGAAGAACCGGAAACATCCCATTACCTCCCTTTCTCCCAAGCTCTATATGTGACTGCAAATAACTCACTGAGGTCATACCCACACGAGCACTTTCCTGACTGTATCTCACGGCGCTCTATATGGACGCATCTGACGCTGGTCACGTCCAGAGCCCAGTCGAAATATTCCTAGTGTGAGTGTGCCGTGACGCGAAACATATACCCCCCACGAGTGCTATCCCCAACCAGCGCTAAGTGCAGGAAGGTAGCTAAAAATAGCATAGGCTGTGTTCTAGGGGTTCTAATACACGTTTACAGAGAAGAGAAGAAAAGGGAGCATGAAGAAGTGATCATCCCCTGACAAAGAAGCAGACAGATAGATAGAGAGGGAAAAAAAAGAAGGAGAGAGATCCTAATGAACGACAAAACCCGCTGCCCAGCTGCCTGCCAGGGCCTGCACCTCAAGGAGCAAATCAATCAGTAGGTAGGGCACGGAGAGAAGCTCATCGAGAATAACAGCAAAAGATCTATCAAACTTTGCCGCCCTTCGTCTTCACCATGCTGCTGTACATCATCTCCGCTGCTCTACGCTGCCATATGAAGTCTGGTGCTTTGGGGAACTCGTTGAGCGTAAGCAGTCAGTGCGAATAATATCCCAAGCACAGAGCAGCACCCTGCACATTACATGATACGAGGAAAGGGGATGCAGAACACTCCGAGGACTTCTTAGACCGCAAATGAGGATGAGAATGGAAACGTAATGCCGACAAGAGGGGGATACGATCGACCGGCAGAGTTGGCAGGTCGCTAACCATCCTGAAACTGGTGACTGGCTGAGCTGGTCCCTTTACGAGAGAACGAACCCCTCAATGGTTTACCAGAGACCTTCATCCTCTCAGGCATGGGGCACATGCGGTCCACCCTCCACACATTGTTTTCTGATAGCTGCACATGACTGGAATGCCTGCCTCTCGCTGCGTTGCAGTTGCATATTAAATAGGAAGCGAGGCACGTACGTACGAGAGCTGACAGCATGGAACTATGCTCCAGGGAGGAACGAGAAACTAAGCCGAAGTTCTTCGACTTCCGCATACATCATCACCATCAGCAGTGCAGCCACACCGACAGAAAGCAGAGAGGACAAGGACCAAAGGAAGCGGAAGGAACTGGTGGTGATTCTCAATTGAATGTGGACTAGAGTGGAAAAGAAACTATACCTATCATACAAAAGGGCTGCCAGCATCCTTCAGCTTGGCGGGAGCTCGGGCCTTGCTGCCAGGTGACCTTGGCTGCGTCACGGATCGGGTGGGTATGTTTGTCTCCTTCAAAGATAACCTCCGTAGCACTCCTCCCGCTCGAAAAGGTGGTAGCGATCCGTCCAAGCTGCTTCTACGCTTCAACTGGTGCCTTGGCGTTCCCGGCTTGCTCGTGCTTCTGGAGCTGCCATTTGTGGAGGTCACACAGCTTCCCTCCTGCGAAGACTCTGGGGTTATGGTTCCTTCACTCGTGGTGCGAGAGCTGTTGCACTGCTCCTCAAGAAGGGCAATTTGCGCTCGTGCAAGCTGGGCAGAAAGGTCTGTCAGCTTACCAGCCGTCAACGCCAAAGGGGATGCTCTAGCAAATGACTGAACAGATGACGCCCCCTGGAACCTCTTCAATTCCTCCCTGATCAACCCCCCTTCACCGAGGGCGTTATCTCCTTTGTCGTTTCCTACATACTCGGGAGGGTGAATTGACGTGTAAGGTGGATTCTTGATGACCTGCAACAAGGTCCACAGCCAAGGGTCCCTCGTAAGAATAGGAAGAACAAGCAAACAACCTTCTTTGAACAGACTTTCACCCACTCATTTGAGAATTGAGTATCAACAAGTGGACCCGCCGCGGCTTCGCGCGCGGCGGACAGAGGGGGGAGGGGGATAATCAGCGGGCAGCATACATTTGCAGAGGGAAGAGTTCGGAAAGAAAAGGAAGAGCTTAGAAGAAGCTGGTGTAGCATGCAAACAGAAAAGCAAGAAGAGATGCACACGCAAAAAGAAAGAGAAGTGAAGGGAGGAGCTTAGCAATTGATACCCCACAAATGAAGTTGAAGATCGGTTTTGTATGACAACCGAAAAGTTCGAATTTGTCGAAGTTGCTTCAGCACAGGTGTACATAGAAGAAGCTGGTACAGACACACCCTCAATGTAAAGCATCTGGACTAAAAGTTGGCCTACTTGCACACGCAAAAAGAAAGAGAAGTGAAGGGAAGAGCTTAGCAATTGATACCCCACAAATGAAGTTGAAGATCGGTTTTGTATGACAACCGAAAAGTTTAAATTTGTGGAAGTTGCTTCAGCACAGGTGTACATAGAAGAAGCTGGTACAGACACACCCTCCATGTAAAGCATCTGGACTAAAAGTTGGCCTAAATATGGACGGTGGTTGGTCAACAATTACTCCGTTCGAACCCAGAATAGACAGCCCTCTTTTTATATATACGAAAACAACCTTAAGACTCCGACTCCTTTGCATTCTGAAGAACATCAGTCCGGTTCCTTAATTAAAAAAAAAAAAAACGATTCTTATTCAATGGGCAAGTCAAAATATTATGAATAGATACAGAGCCGGTTTCCAAGTCCATCAGACGGACAAATCCACATAACTGATTTGCAGTATTCACTCAAAACAACAAAAAAAGAACTCCCTGTCATTGGTGGAATAACGGCTGCAAAAAGAAGGGACCCAGGGCTGCAAAAAAGAACTCCCTTCATTTGTTCTTGTGCGTTGAAACGGACTCCACCTTTCGCAGTAGCCAATGCAGATCCCAGGGCTCGATCCCTAGTCCTCACTTCACCTGTGTACAGTATCTGAGTCGACCCTAAGAGTTGAACCCGTGACTTGTGTATTCACAGTAGTTGGTAGGCTGTCATAGGTCCGTAGGTTGTAGGGGTTCGATCTGTAGACCTGTCGTTTGTAGGTCTTAGCAGGTCTTAGGAGTCGTAGCTGTAGCCCCTCCGAAGGGTCAAAGTCGTAGCTGCTGTAGTCCTGAAAGGTCAAGGTAGTAGCTGCTACGGTACCGAAAGGCCAAGTCTACGGACTTCCGGAAGGTCCGGAAGTGGCCTTTCGGAGCTTGCTCACGTTTAGACAGAGGCAAGTGGGCAAGTGGCGAGGTCAACTGCAGTACGTCGGCAGTGCGACTGCGGTGAGTTGACAATAAGTCCCCATGCAGTCAGTGGTATCAGTCCCAGTCAGTCAGGGTCCAGTCAAGCAAGTACCGTGTGGGACTGTGTGCACCCAGGGCATGGGAAAGGGGCAGACCAACAAGCTACAGAAGTATAAAGCAAGAGGCAGCGATCAGTCATGTATTCATTTCTGCGTAAGCCATGCGGAAGCGCTGCTTGAGCGTCTTGTGCGAGGTGGTCTGCAGATGCGCCTGAAGTCGAAGCGGGCTGACAGAGATAGCGTAGCCATAGCTGTAGGTAGCGACAGCGGCTAGCGCTGCCATAGCTGTAGGTGAGTGCAGTGTGCGTGTGTGCGTGTATACAGAGTGTGTTGCGTATGGGGTATCCAGGGTGATCTAGAGTTGAGTATGTGTGAATGGTGAAGTCGAGCACAGTGACGAACAAAAGTTGTTGGGCGCTATTGCGCCATAGCTTATCTAAAGCGAGTTGCTGTTCTTGGTTCCATATCTCTGAGTTCTGAGTTGGGCGCATATCGCCAGTTTACTGTGTCACCTGTTTGCATGCGTGTGAAGCAAGAAAGAAAGCGAGTCTGATTGCAGCGTGATCTCCTCGTCTTCCCACCTCCTCCATTTGTCCTTCATCCATTCTTCACCACTCGCTCACCTCTCCTCCATGCCGCCTTCATCTCTCGTCCTATCCCCGTCCTTTCATCTCTTACCCTTTCCCCTCTATCTCTCATCGTCATCTCTTGCTCTACCCCCCCCATCTCTTTTCCATATTCCCTGCTCCCTGGAATAGTTTCGTGCATATCTGCTCCGTCTCTTCTCCATCTGTTCTCCATTTCTACTTCATTTCTCCTCCATATCTCCTCCATCTATCCCCCACCTCTCCTCCCTTTGTCGTCCTCCTCCTCCATCTATCCCCCATCTCCCCTCCATTTCTTCTCCTCCTCTCTCCTCCATCTGTCCTCCATATCTACTCCATTTCTCTTGCTTCTCCCCGCGATAATGATCGTCAAATCGTTTTAGCCCCTTTCGATCGTCCCCCCTCTTCCATCTCTCCTTCATATTTCCTCCTTTCCATCCGCCATATCTCCGCCATGTCCTTCTCATGCCTTCACCATCATCTCTTCTCCACGCTTTTACCTTTCCATTCCATCTATCCATCTCTCCTCCATATCTCTTGTATCTCTGGTCGATCTCCCCTGAAACAGCTGAAAGTGCGATCAGACTTGTCTCCTTCAAGCTCAGCATGCATGCAAACAGATGACGATCACACCTGGCGCAACAGCACCCACACAAAGCTCAGAGATAAACGTAGCCAGGAACACAGCTCAGACTCAAACTTGTCTTGAACGGCTATGGCACCAACACCAGACAAAGATTCCCAATCGATCGACTGTATCCCCCAGCAACTTGTTCGCACACACACAGACTCACTCTGGATCACCCTGGATGTCCCGCACACACACACAACACAAACTGACAGCTATGGTTATCATCTACCTCCTACCACTAACTGGCGGCTATGGCCGCATCTTCCTCCTCTTAACCCACTTCCTCTTCAGGCACCTGCAGACCTTCATACACAAGACGCTCTGACAGCGCTTCCGCACGGCTCACAGGCAGAATGAATGAATGACTTGACGCTGCATCTTTATTTATACTTTGGATCGTCATTGGTCTAACCTTGGACCCTGGGCCCGGGGTGCACACAGTCCCACATGGTACTTGCTGACTGACAAAGTGCGACTGGGACTGGGTACCACTGACTAGGCTAGGTAGGACTTGGACTGCCCTTTGCTGACTGTGCTAGGACTGCCCTTCGCTGACTGTGCTAGGACTGCCCTTCGCTGACTCAGACGTGCACTGACTCCTAGGACATACAAAGAGCCAGTCTACAGGCTTCTAGAAGGTCGTGGACTTGACCTTTCAGAAACTGTAGCAGCTACGACCTATACTACTGCTAAGACTCCTAAGCGCAGACCTACGGTTCAAGACCCAGTCATCGCACTACATACAGCAGCTGAACATACGACTTTTGGGACACAGGTCGCGGGTTCAAACACACGGGTCAACGGGGAATTGTACATGGGTGAAGGGGAGGTATACGGATCAAGCCCTGGGTACTGCATCTGTCACTGTAACAGATGAAAATCGTTTCACTCCCGCCTGCCCAAATTCGAGGTTGAATACTTGAACGCAAGACAGGACCTTTACCTTTCTTTTCTCTTTCATAGGCGTGGACTATGTCGGGAGCGGTCTCTAAGAGTTCGGTTCTTGTGAACCATCGGTCATCCTCCGGTTCTTGATAAGCAAACCTGACTTTGTACTGCTCTTGTGAACAACCCCTACCTCCGGTCCGGAACACATCCTCTTCCACAATGCAATCTATATCGTATGTGCCATCCATATCCGGAGGAATCATCGATCGACGCAACCGAAATTGCTGGCTTGTGACACAAGGTAACAATTTGGATGCATGGAAGACTGGGTATGTGTGGAGGTGTGGCGGAATCTTTACTGTGTAGGAAGGTCTGTCCTCTCCGCCTTTCACTTCTAGGACAGGCCACGGTCCCCTATACGCAGGCAACAGCTTTTGTGAGATGTTCTCTTCTGGGTCGAACTCCTTGGACTTCAGCCTGACTAAGTCACCTACCTGGAACTGTGATGGCCGACAACGCTTGTTAGCTTGCTCAATCGTTCTGTGTCGAGCTTTTCTTAGATTGTCGGTCACTCTTGCGGTTTCTTTCTCATGCTGTAGGGCAAACTCTCTAGTTCTGGGTGGCAGTCTTTGTATCTGGTCACGATTTAGTCCTTTGAACTGCCTGCGTGGTCTGAAAGACTTGTGCAACTCGTTTGGAGTCCGGCAAGTAGCTAGGTGAACACTGTTATTGTAAGCACTAGCTACTTTAGGGGTCATCTCATCCCAGTTGATCTGATTCGGCCTAATGTACATCCTGAGTATCTGCTGCAGGATCTTATTCATCTGTTCAGTCTGACTGTTAGTCTCTGGATGGCGGCCAGATGACATATAAGTTCCTGCCAATGCTGACTAGTAAACCGCGTATCTCTGTCGCTAACCGTAGATACCGGAATACCGTGCTCACTTACCCAGGCGTCAAAAAACTTCTCTATAACTAACTCTGTACGCGCCTCAGAAGGCAAGGGAACAAAAAACGCACACTTGCTAAAACGGTCAACTACTACCATGACTTGGCCCTTGCGATGCCTACTCCTGACCCCAGCATCCATAAAGTCAATGGACACAGACTCCCCGGGTCCTGAAGGAATAGGCAAGGGTCTGAGAAGACCCAATGGGGCTCGCGTCATAGTTTTGTTGTGCTGGCATACCTTGCAACTACGCACCTACTCTATGCAGTCAGCTTTCATGCCAGACATCGTATAAGCATGTGTCAGGTTGGCTAATGTCTTCTTTTGCCAACCGAAGTGTCCTTCAGTATCGTGACATTCCCCTAAGATCAAACTCCGGATCTCTTCACTATTGGGGATGCACAGCCGATCTGCGACGTCTGTCTTCTCAAATAGTAACCCGTTTGTGGTGCGATAATCAGGTTCACTCGCTGGGTCCTCCCTTAC